GCCCCAAAAGGCCGTGCTCGCCAGGTGCTGCGCCTCGCAGCTGCGGATCACCGGGGAACGAAACAGCTGCACAGGCACAGGCTTTCGGAGGTCCGCGCGGACTTATGGGACGTCTGGGGTTCCTGGGAGGGGGTTCCGCGCCGCTCCAGGGAATACCGCGCGGACCTCCGACCGCTTGTGTCCATGTGCTGTTTCTCCTCCTCGAGGATGGCCGAGGCCGTGGCGGAGGCGACGGCGTCCAGCAGCGGGGCGTCCCGCAGCCGCAGGGTGGCAAACGCCCACGCGGTGTTCGCCAGCTCCTGGGGCTTGAAGGGCTGCCGGTCTCCGCCGTTGCCGATGCGGCGGGCAGCCTCCCGCGAGATGGCCTGCAGCAGCGGCACGTCGGGCTGCAGCAGGGCCGCGAACGACCACGCGGTGTTCGCCAGGTGCCGCGGTTCGAACGCGGGGAGCGTCCGCAGCCCGGCCTGCGAGAGGGCCGCAAGCAGCGGCCCGTGGTGCAGCGGCAGCGTGGCGAACGCCCACGACGTGTTGGCCACGTCGCGCGCGCCGAACTGCGGCATGCGGGGCATCGATGGCGCCGCGATGGCCTGCAGCAGAGGCGCGTCGCGCCCCCTGAGCGTGGCCAGGGACCACGCGGCACTCGCCAGCGCCCGCGGCTGCAGGTCGGACGGCCCCGCCGCCGCCTCTTCCAGGGCGTCGGCCAGCCTTCGGGACAACTGCGACCAGCCACACACCCCACCCTGGCCGACCGACTCTTCCCCCCCCACGGGGATGGGTTCCGCCCCCCTCGAGCTCCGCGGCTCCCATGCGCACGAGGGAGTGCGCTTGGATAGCTGGCCTACCATGTCCCAGCAGGGGCTGGGGCGTAAGCATGGCTGGCGGCACGCGCAAGCGGGTGGCGCGAGGCTTGGGGTCTTCGAAGAAGGCGGGGGAACTTCTTGGACGGCAAGGGCTTTCTTCTCCGGGTTCGTGCGGGGCCTCCAGGACCTTCTGAGAAAGCCTCCCCTTCTGAGAAGCCCCCAGACTTCTTACAAGGCCACCCTCATCGAGCCTCCCCTTCCAGGCCTCCCAAACGTGGCCGGAGTTAATGGGGTCGGAGGCTCGCGCCGCATCGCAAATGCATCGGCGATGCGGCTCGATGTGGATCCCGACTTTCCCCACACCGACGGCGCCAATGCATCGACGACGTCGCCGACACATCGCCGATGCATCGGCGATTCGGCGCGATTCTCCAACCCCTCCTCCAAATTTGGGAGGCCTCCACTTACATCCGCTGACGCCACCTTGCTCTCCATCCCCTGCCGCAAAGGTCTCAACCGCTTCCCTGGAGGTAATTAATTGTCCCGAGCCCATGTTTGATGGTCCTGGGGCCCAATAGCGGCCCCCGGAGGCCGAAATCGAAGAAACAAACTCCAGCTGGCTACGTTTAGGTGTATATGTACACAGTTGTCTACACAGTTCTACTCATGTAGGTATGTATGCATGTATGTATGTATGTATGTATGTATGTATGTATTTATGTATGTATGTATGTATACATGCATGCATGTATGTATGTATGTATGCATGTATGTATGTATGTATGTATGTATGTATGTATGTATGTATGTGTATGTATGCGTGTATATGTGTATGTCTATGTGTATGTGTATGTGTATGTGTATGTGTATGTGTATATGTATGTATGTATGTATGTATGTATGTATGTATGTATGTATGTATGTGTGTATGTATGTATGTATGTATGTATGTATGTATGTATGCATGTTTGTTTGTTTGTTTGTTTGTTTGTGTGTTTGTTTGTTTGTATGTGTGTATGTATGTATGTATGCATGTATGTATGTATGTATGTATGTATGTGTCTATGTATGTGTGTATGTATGTATGCATGTATGTTTGCTTGTATGTATTATGTATGTATGTATGCATGCATGCATGCATGCATGTAGGTATGTATGTATGTGTGACTGTATGTGTGAATGTATGTCTGTATGTCTGAATGTCTGCATGTATGTATAGATGCATGCTTGGCGATAAACATGGAAATATGTATGCATGCATGCATCTGTATGTATGTACGTATGCATGTAGATATGTATGTACGTATGTATACATGCATGTGTGGATGCAAGTACGTGTGTACTATGTATGTCTGCATGTCTGTATGCATACATCTATGTATGTGTGCATGTATGTATGTTTGGATACGCGCATGCATGTACATGTGCATGTACGTATGCATGCATGCATGCATGCATGCATGCATGTATGTATGTATGTGTTCATGTGTGTATATGTATACATGAAGCACTGTTGTTTGTGTATGCATGCATGTATGGATGCATGTATGTATGCTTGTACGTACGTGCGAACGTACGTGTGTAAATTTACATGCATGCATGCATTTATGTATGCATGTTTGTGTATGTATGTCTGTATGCGTATGTGTACAATACACCAGCAAAAACCATCAGTGGATGGTTTCATGAGATCGATGGTGAGATCGATTGAGCGAGATGAACAGTGAGATCGATCATGAGATCGATAATGAATCGTGGGATCGATAAAGAGATCGACCGGGAAGCCGGGAACCCAAAACCCACCGAAATCGGCCCGGAACCAATGACCGGGAACCCGGAACCGGGAACACGGGAACTCAGCCTGCTACCAGAATCGGCGGGAAACTTTCGCCAAACCTTTCAACTTCCGCTAGGACCCTCTCAGTGCAAGCACTGATTGGGGAATATATACAAATAACACCGGAGAAAACCTCAATCAGTGGATGATTTGAAAATTGGCACTACGGATCTTGAGGTCGATTGTGAGATCGATAATGAGATCGATAGTGGAATCGATAGCGAGGACGATTGTAAGGTCGATCGTGAGACCGAGAGTGAAATCGATTCAATGAGATCGATAGTGAGATCGATCGCGAGATCGCTCATGCGATTTCTAATAAGATCGCTTGCGAGATCGATAGTGAGATCGCTTGTGAGATCGATGGTGAGATCGATAAAGAAGTAGTGAAAACGATGGTGAGACCCGATCGATAAGAAGATCGACCAAAAACCCGGGAACCCGGGAACCTCGCCGCCCTCCGAAATCGGCCCGGAACCCAGAACCGGGAACTCGGGAACCCGGAACCAGGAAGCCCAGCGTGCGACCAAAATCGGCGGGAAACTTTCGCCAAATCCTTGAATTTCCGCAAGGACCCCTTCAGTGCAAGCACTGATTGGGGAATCTACATATATGAATGTATGTACGTATGTATGTGTGTATTATGTGTGTGTATGTATGCATGTATGGGTGTATGGTTGCATATATCCATATGTCTATGTAAATGTATGTATGTATGTATGTGCTTATGCATGTATGTAAATATGTATGCAAGTGTGCATCGATGTATGTAGGTAGGTAGGTGGGCAGGTAGGTAGGTAGGTCGGTGTGCGTGTGTGTACGTATGGATGTGTATATATATATATAAATATATATATATAATGTATAGCTGTACCAGCACCACCGGCTCCCTCACGAATGCAAAACTGATATGGCACAAATTCGGTCCCGACCGGGGAGCCTGAGTCCGGAGCGCCCCAGGAGAGCCGAACGCGGCCCCAGATGGCCCCAAGACGGCCGCGGAGGGCCCCAGGAGGCCTCAGGAGGGCGAGCGCCCCAAGTCGGCCACGATGAGCCCAAGATGGCGAATCGACTATCCAATGGGCTCCCCAGGTGGCCCCAGGGGGCCCGAAGCCGAAGAAGATTCCCAAGAGGCCCCGGGGAAGCAACATTTATACTCGGCTTCTCGGTCTCCAGAGCGCTCGAGACGACCGAAGAGGCCCCCAAGATCGCTCCAAGATAACCCAAGTGGCGCCCAAAGGGGCGGCAAGACGAGCCCAGAACGGCCCAAGAGGGGCCCAATCTGCTACAAGAGGCCCTCCCCTGAAGGGGCTCGAGACGGCCCAAGAGGACCCCAAAACAGCCCAACAGGGCCACTAGACCGCCCCAGAACAGCCCCAAGAGGCCCCGAAGATTGCCCAGAGGGACCACGACGGCCCCAGAAGGCCCCAAGACGGCCTGACAACGGTCAAGAGAGCCCAGTCGGGACGCTGCATTAGTACGGCGACGGCCAGAAACTTAATATAACACAAATCCAGGGTCTCTTCGGGCCGTTTTCAGGCTGTCTTGGCGAGCCTCCTGGGCCCTCTGGGGCCCTCTCGGGGCGTCGTGGTGCAATATTGGGGGCCTCTTGGGGCTGTTCTGGGGCGGTCTGGGGGCCCTGTTGGGCTGTCTTGGGGCCCTCCTGGGCAGTCAGGCTCTCCTTGGGGGGGCCTCTTGCAGCATATTGGGGCCGTCTCAGTCCCCTCTCGGGCCGTTCTGGGCCCGTCTTGGCGCCCTCTTGGGCGCCCATCCGGCCAGCTGGAGCGTTCTTGGGGGCACCTCGGCCGCCTCGAGCGCTCTGGAGACCGAGAAGATCAGCGAAGCCGAACATGCGAAAACGGCACCGAAACCTAGGAAAAATTCAAACAATCTGCCTCCGGGGAACCCCGTGGGAGTCGTTTTCGGGCCCCCCAGGGCCATCTGGGGAGCCCGTTGGGCCGTCGATTGGCCATCCTGAGCCCATCTTGGGCCCATCGAGGCCGTCTGGGAGCGCTCGCCAGGCCCTCCTGAGGCCTCCCGGGGCCCTCCGCGGCCGTCTTGGGGGGCCGTGCTGGGCCCTCCTGGAGCGCTCCAGAATCAGGCTCCCTGGCCGGGCCCGCACTTGTCCCAGATCAATGTTCTGTGAATGCGGGAGCCGACTGAATCAGTACAGCTCTCTCTCTCTCTCTCTCTCTTTTTTCTCTCTCTCTCTCTCTCTCTTTCTCTCTCTCTCTCTCTCTCTCTCTCTTTCTCTCCATGCATATATATATATATATATATGTATGTATATATATACACACACCTATACGACCGCCCTGCGGGCGATAAGGAGGTTGGGGGGGGATTGAGATCAAATGCTCACCCTGACTGACCTCCAGCCTGTCACCTTGATCTCATCTCTCTCTTTCTCTCTGTCTCTCTCTCTCTCTCTCTGTCTCTCTCTCTCTCTCGCGGGGACACCCGGGACACCCGGGACGCCCGGGACACCCGGGACACCCTGGACAACACCGCCTGGCCCAACTGAGACACCTCCCAGCCACCAGCGGATGGGAAACGGACTTTCGCTCCTAGAGACACCCGGGACACCCTGGACATCGCCCGGCCCAACTGGGACACCTTCCGGCCACCGGCGGACGGGAAACAGACTTTCGCTCCTACTTCGGCCTAGCTACTGGAAGATCACGCGCAGCTTCGCCTCACCCGCACGCACGGCACGAACACGAAACCGAAACCGTTTCCCCTGTGGGGGGTCTCCGTTTCACTGCGATCTCACCCCCCAACCTCTGATATATATATATATATATATATATATATATATATATACACACATATTTATACACACACACACCTAAGCGACCATCCTCTAGGTGATAAGGAGAATGGGGGGGGAAGGGGGGGAACCAACATCATATTCAATCGATCTCACAATCGACCTCACTCAACGGGACACCACGGGACACTTGTCGATCTCACTATCGATCTCACCATCAATCTCACTATCGATCTCACTCAGCGGGACACGACGGGACACCACGGGAAACTTGTCGATCTCACTATCGATCCCACTC